TTGTGAACTGATCCAACCATTCTGGACAACAATTTGGAATTACGCCCAAAGGGCTATAAAAATGTGAATACCTTTTGACTCTGCAATACCACTTCTAGGTCTGTATCCCAAAGAGATCATACAAATGGGAAAAGAACAGTAACAGCAACAATGTGTGATGACTAACTTTTATAGGCTCATCTCTTCTTAGCAATGCAAGAACCGAAGACAACTCCAAAGCACTCATGATGGAAAATGCTGTCCACATCCAGAAAAAGAACTATGGAGTCTGAATGCAGATCAAAGCATATTATTTGCTCTTTTAAAAAGAATTTTTTTTGTTTCTTCTTTCTCATAGTTTTTCCCATTGGTTCTAATTCTTCTTTACAACATGACTAATGTGAAAATAGGTTCAATATGAATGTATATGTAGAGCCTATATCAAATTGCATGCCTGTCTTGATGTGGGGGGAGGGGAGAGATGGGGAGAAATTTAGGACTCAAAATCTTATGGAAGTGAATATTGAAAACTAAAAATACAAAAATAGATTTTTTTAAAAAAATAAAATTGAACTTTTGGCTTCTGGAATAAAAGAATAGAATCTTATACAAGGTGGCACACAAAATGTTCAAAACATGAACATTCAATATTTGAATCAATAAGTATGAAAAATATTCATGCCATACCTCATTAGGTATGAGAAGTAGTCAAGGAATATCTGTGGAACTCTAAACATAATTGTTCTTTTAGTACTAGGATTACATCTTAGCTATATCAAATATTGCTTACCCAAAACTGCTGCTTTATATTTGATTAGGACAGCAGAGACAAAAATCAGCCCCCCTACCTTAACACAAGCCTCAAAGGAAAGAACTGACTCCAAGAATGAAAAATGTGGTAATCAAACTACTGGTTAGTCCTTGTAAAGTTTTCTTATGACCATTCAACTTTGCTTAATGAAAATTTGTCAGTTTAGTATATTGAAATGATATGGGTTATTTCTATCTGAAAAATTTTTCCAGAACTCAATAAGGCTAAAATAAAAGAGGGAATATGTTGTGACTCTTCAAACAATAGAAGTGATGAAAGATGAACATTGTGAAGAATAGGTGAATTAAGTTGAAGGAGCAGCATGGGAGTATTTTTCTTTAAAGTGACCAAATACATTTTGGGAAACTACAAAGCAGAACATTACCAAGAAAGTGTCAATGATCTTCTCAAAGCCCATAAAGTTATGGAATGTAACATGTTACTCCAGATCCATTTCTGGGATTCATGCTTGGACTTCTTCCTGGAAAACCTAGGCATTGTTAGTGATGAGCACAGAGAATGTTTCTATCAAGAAATATCCATAATGAAAAAGTAATGCCAGGATAAATAAAGTCCATGCTGTCTGATAACAATTGAGAGCTGAGGAAGGATATTTCACAGATAAAATACAACAGGGAACCATCGGTAGCTACATTTTAGCACAATTTAAGCATAATAAGCATAATTCTGTTTAGTAATAATAATATTAATATAAAATTTTGATTACTATGAATAATGGGAAAGAGACAAAGTCTAAAGTCATATTTGAAATTAGCACAAAAATACCACAGGTTCCCCCTTTTATGGATATAACATAGAAAAACTTTTTTTCCGCTGTTTTGTAACCAATTTATAATGTAAGATATATACATACATACATACATACATACACACATACATACATGTGTGTGTGTGTGTGTGTGTGTGTGTGTGTGTGTGTGTGTGTGTGTGTACCAGACTGGGTGTTGTCACTGAAGGGCTTGCTGACTGGGATATCTTTCTCTTCCTTTTTCTACTTAAAAGAAAGAATGTGATATCCCCATTACTCTACATAGGCTAACATCTTCAAATAAGTCTTTAAAATATGTCTTTTCATAATTTATCATAATTGTGATTTATCTAAAAATAAATTTTGTTTCAATCTTTGCTTTTAAGCTTTCTAATGTGTTAGTCTTACTTATAAATTTACATTTCAATATATGGGTTAGATATGCCCCCAAGCTTTGTTTTCGAGAATGTATTATTTTGCAAAGTATTTGTGGTTTTCCTGGTCTTCACACTTAATTTTTAATTCCATATTGATCTATTCTCTGAAATACACAATGCATAGATTCTTTTACTGTTAGATTCTATAAACAAGTGTTAACTTGAATTAATGCATTAATCTGAGTACAGCCAGACATTCATGAGTTTTATTCTTAATTTTAGAGCAGTAGTTCTCAAAGAGTGTGTTACAAATCATAGTAATTATGCTGAAAAGTTTTGGATATTATTGCAGATAAAAAATTACATAAATTGGGGCAGGTAGGTGGCACAGTAGATAGAGGTCTGGCCTTGGAGTCAGGAGGATCTGAGTTCAAATCCAGCCTCAGACACATGACACCTACTAGCTGTGTGACCCTGGGCAAGTCACTTAACCCCATTGCCTAGCTAAAAAAAATTACACAAATAGTTTAATATAAATTTTACTTACTCAACATACATAGTATGTTAAATACAGTATATGAAACAAAACAATTTGCCTACAAAATTATGCACTAACCTCAAAATGTTTCAGACCTTGAACTCACCAAAAAAAAAAGATTACCTTGAGTTTTCTGACTCCTTTGTATTGTGATGTCAAATTAGATAGTCAATATGCTACAGTGCCCTTCAGCAAAGAATAATGTACTTTGAACAAAAATAGAAGTTTAAAAACCACTACTTTAATGTTTTTTAAGCTTTTATCATTGCCTTGTATGGCCCTGGGTAAAATATCATTTCTAAGTGGATAGGTTCATATTTTCTAAGAGATAATAAAGACATCAGACAAAAATTTCCAAAGAATTGACCACCTAATTTAAAAGAAAGTGTAAGGAATTCTAAGATGATGCAATGTAGTTTGAGGCAAACACTATTGAAATTTTAACTTTACCAAAAGTTATCAAGGTGAATAAGAGTCCAAAAGACAATAAGGATTCCATGTGAAAATGGTTGTCCTTTCACCTGGTTTTTAAAAATCATTTTCAGCAAACAAAAATTTTCTGTGTATCCAGACAAGCTGGATAACAAAAAGATTTCAGAATCATGTTCTGTGCTTTGATACTGTCAAATCAGTTAATTCCCATCCTTTTGTTTTACTTGGACAGCAGAAGCGTAGAATTTAGAGTTAAAAGAGATCTTAGCTATCATTTAGTTGAATTCCATCCCTTTACAGATGGGAGTATTGCGACCCAGAGAGATTGAGTCACTTTGTCTTGTAGTAAATATCAAGAGAATGGATTATGAATTCATGTTTCTTACCATTGTGCATTCTATGCCCTGTTCTATTTTCCAAGTCTGTCCTATATCTGTTTCTTTGTGAAATGTGAATGAAAGGTATAATGAAATGTAAGTAAATGAAAAGTGAAATGGCATTTATTATGTTTGTTGTTGTTCAGTCATTCAGTAAAGTCCAACTCTTAGTGACCACATATGGAGCTTTCTTGGCAAAGGTACTGGAGCGGTTTGCCATTTCCTTCTCCTGTGGATTAAGGCAAAAAGAGGTTAAGTGACTTTCCCTGGGTCACACAGTTATTAAGTGTGTGAGGAAAGATTTGAACTCAGATCTTTCTGATTCCAGGCCCAGCACTGAGGCATCTATCTCCCTCTATATATTTTATCTATATACTCCCTTTTGTATAGCTATCACAAATTATGGTTAAGATTCACATAATTAATTACTATTTCAAAAATCACTTCAGTTAGAGAATATCTACAAAACCGAGAAACTGTAAGACTCATTTAACACATTATAAAAGTTACTTAGCGACAAGGGGAAAAAAGGAGCAGAAACTTGAGTTTAAGGTGTGTGGTATTTTTTGTTTATTTTTTGTAATTTTGTTATAAAATGTTTCATCTTATAATTAAAAGGAAGTGTGGTAAATCATTAAATACCACATAGAAGACCAAAAAGCACTGAACCTTTTGAGACCCCATTGGACTATTAGGAATTTCTCAAGAACCAACATTTATGAACATTCCATACCAAGTAGTACCAATATACTCTTAACTAGAGCCATTCCAACCGGTCTAGTTTTGTGGTAAGGTTACTTTTAACAAATCATATCATTCAGGAGGATAGGGCTGGTGTGGAAGGAACAGAACCATACAGTATAATAGGGATATTGCCAAGGGTCTCAATCTGAACAAAGATTTTTTTTTTACCTTGCCCAGAATAAACAGAAACTTGAGGTTAGCACTATATTCTATGTAACAAAAACTCAACCAGATCTCTTAAACTGATGTAGATCTAAGCAGACCCCAAAGTAACCTGGGACCTTCTAGAGTCCTTGAACTTCATAGTCCTATAGTTGATATGTTCAGTTCATCTTCCACCCCAACACTGAGAAGATTTAGAGGGCATATATCAGAACAGAATATTTTTACATTTACTGAGAGGTGGTCAAATTTTCTAACACTGTGAAGTTAGCAGATATTACCACTATGGCCGATAGCATGTGGCATCGATCAACATAGGGGAACAGAGTCAGGCCCCATATTCACTAAGAAAATACTAGAAATCAAGTATGCTCTGTGTTTCATTAGCCTAGCCCACCCTTTAGAGAGAAATTACATATTGAATGTGATGAAAGATGATTACAGGGAGTAAGTAATATGAGAGGACAATCTACCCAATGTACTCAGTTTCTAAGTGGAGAGGAAAAGAAGACTCTACGCTAAGCTATAATTGCAGCATTAGGTCATAGATGTGTGCTTAAGTGTTGTGCATATGAAGACAAAACTGCCTCTAACATTGGGCTGATTACATGATTTTTTATCTCTGAATCAAAATTATAAGGCAACGATAGGTCTAAACATACTGAAATCACTAAACATAGTGAAATCACTATGAAAATTATTAAAATTGCTAGTGTCTTAGCTACCTACCCTATGTATGTCCTAAAATTACTAAAGAGAAACTCATTAGAATGTCAACTTTATAAAACCACAGTTTTTATGTTTTTAAAAGATTGTTTTGAAGTTTACGATTTGAATGGTGATGGTTTCATTTCACGAGAGGAAATGTTTCACATGCTAAAAAACAGCCTTCTCAAGCAACCAAGTGAAGAAGATCCAGATGAAGGGATTAAAGACTTAGTTGATATAACACTTAAGAAAATGGTAAGTATATTCTAAGAAAATATAGTCAGTGTATTACAATAAAAACAATCAGTTGGGTATGAGAGAAAAGCAAAAAGGGGAAATTCAGTAATCATTTTGTTCCTCTTTGGTAGAGATAGAAGATAGAAACTGAATCTGTGGTTTCCTTAGTATAAGGAATTCCTCATGAGGCAACTCCCTCTACCAATGCAAGTACCTCCACAGTTCATAGTCTTAGATAAATAACCAAGATCATGAGGAAACTAAGTGACTTGCCCAGGGTCATAGAGCCTTAAAACCCAGGTCTTCCTGGCTCTGAGAACAGTTCTCTACCCACTGTGCCATGTGGCTTTTCCTCCTTAATAAAAAGAAAAATCATGTGTATTTTTTCTTTCTATCATGTATGTAATGTCATACATATGTAACACATAATGTTAGCAAAGCCATTATTGTCACGAAATCTATTTTCTGATCTTCATCTTTCCTAGGATCATGACCATGATGGGAAGCTATCCTTTGCAGACTATGAAACATCTGTAAAAGAAGAAGCTCTTTTGTTGGAAGCATTTGGTCCATGTTTACCGGACACAAAGGTATTAACAGTCATTGAAAATATTCATATTCATTCCATAGCATTAAATGAAATGAGTAGTTGGCCGTGTACAAATAAATTTTCTCATGTGGGAAGAGTAATTTCGAACCACAGGAAAGGACAAGTGAATTAGTACTGAGGGTCTCCTATTACAATGCTCTCATAGGTCCTTATTATTTTCTGTAGCTTCTGAAGAAACTTTTCAATCCTAAAAAGAAAGTACCCAAAGGAACTATGAGACATCACAGTGGAACTAGGGTAAGACTAGTTGTCCTCTCTTGTCACATGAAATATATTTTAAGTTTCCATCTGCCAAGATGAGGTATCACCCAGGACTTCCCACAGTCAAGTTCTTAATATGGTTTGTTTTGAGTATCTTTCTGCTGTCACTACTTGGGAATTGTGAAGTGAATTTTTCTCTAAAGACTTTAACCTTGGAATATAGTCTTTCTCCACTTTCTCTTTTAGGAGCTTTCCTCCTCAACCATCTCCTTTCCCTTTTATGTTTTTTTTTAATGTTTCCTTATCCACTAGTTTTTTCCTTGAAAATATGCCCACATCATCCTCATTCATAAAAACAAAGCCTTCATTTGAACCTCTCCTCAGTTTATCAACCTATATCAATCAGCAAGCATTTGTTAAATGCTTTCTATGTCCCAGGCACTGTGCTAGCCAGTGGATATACAAATATAGAATGAGATAATCCCTGCCCTCAAGAGCTTTCATTGTATCAGAGGGCCATTGCATGTTTTGTTGTTGTTCAGCCATGTCTGACTCTTCATGATTCCATGTATTACAGCATTCCAAATCCTTCTATTCTCCACCATCTCCTCAAGTCTGTCTAAATTCATGTTCATTGTTTCCATGACACTATTCATCTCATTCTCTGCCATCCTCTTTTCCTTTTGCCTTCAACCTTTCCTAACATCAAGGTCTTTTCCAATAAGTGCCATCTTCTCATTATGTTGCCTAAGTATTTAAGCTTCAGTATTTGCTCTTCCAGTGAAATCCTCAGTTAATTTCTTTAAGCATTGACTGATTTGATCTCCTTGCTATCCAAGGGACTCTCAAGTTTTCTCCAGCACCACAATTTGAAAGTATCAACTCAGTGGAGCTCATGTTTCCTTATATTCAACTCTCACAAGCCATGTATTGCTACTGGAAAAACCATAGCTTTGACTATATGGACCTTTGTCAGCAGGGTGTTGTCTCTGCTTTTTTAGTATGCTGTCCAGATATGCCAGAGTTTTCCTTCCAAAGAGCAAGCATCTTTTAATTTTATGGCTGCAGTTGCTGTCTACAGTGATTTTTGAGCCCAAGAATACGAAATCTGACTTTCCTTCTGTATGCCAGGAAGTGAAGGGACCAGTTGCCAAGATCTTAGTTGTTGTTGTTGTCATCATTGTTGTTTTTTTAATGTTAAGCTTCAAGCCAGCTTTTAAACTCTCCCTTTTCATCCTTAAGAGGCTTCTTAATTCTTCTTCACTTTCTGCCATCAGAGTGGTATTGTCTGTTTAGTCTAAGATTATTAATATTTCTCCCAGCATCCTTAATTCCAACTTTTTATTTGGCCATCTTGGCATTTGGCATGATGTTAAGGACTTAAATAAATAAAATGACAATATACAGCCTTGTTATACTACTTTCCCAATCTTAAACCTATCCGTTCCACATGTGACTCTAACTTGCTACTTGGCCCACACACAGGTTCCTTAGGAAATAAGTAATATGATCTGATACTCCCATCTCTTTGAGGACTGGCCACATTGTGTTGTGATCTGTACAGTCAAAGGCTTTGGTGTAGTCAATGAACCAGAAGTAGATGTTTTGTTTTGTTTTCTGGAACTCCCTTATTTTCTCCATAATCTAGCAAATATTGGCAATTTGGTCTTTAGTTCCTCTGCCTCAAAAGCCAGTCTATTCTTCTTGTAATTCTTGCTTCACATGTTGCTGAAGTCTGGCTAGCAGAATCTTAAGCATAACCTCCCTGGCACATGAAATGAGCACAATTGTTCTAAAATTTGAACATTCTTTGGAATTGTCCTTCTTTAGGATTGAGATGCAAACTGAGCCTTTATGATCTAGTGGCCACTGTTAAGTTTTCCAAATTTGCTGGCATATTAAGTGCAGCTGTTTAATAGCACCATCCTGTAGGATTGTAAATAACTGTGCTGGAATTCCATCATTTCCTCCAGCCTTATTAACAATGCTTCCTAGCACTTGACTTCATTCTCCAGGATGTCTGGCTTTAGATCAGTAACCACACCATTGTGGTTATCAGTGATATTAAGATTTTTCTTGTATAGTTCTTCTGCATGTTCTTGCCACCTTTCCTTAATCTCTTCAACTTCTATTAAGTCCCTACCATTTTTGTCTTCTATCATGTTCATGTTTGCCTGAAATGTTTCTTTGATATCTCTAATTTTCTGGAAGAGATCTGTCTTTCCCATTCTATTATTTTCTTATACTTTTTTTTTTGCATTACTCATTTAAGAAAACCTTATCTCTTTTTGCTATTCCCTGGAATTCTGCATTCAGTTGGGTTTCTTTCCCTTTCCTTTTCCTTCTATTTATAAAGCTTCATTAGACAGTCATTTTGCTTTCTTGCTCTTCTTTTTCTTTGGAATGATTTCTGTTGATGCCTCCCATACAATATTGTGAACCTCTATACATAGTTATTCAGACACTTATTTACCAGATCTAATCTCTTAAATCTATTAATCACTTCCACTTCATATTCATAAAGGATGTTTACAGATAAATACAAGGCAGCTACATGGCACAGTGGATAGAGTGCAGGACCTGGAGTCAGGAAGACTCAACTTTGTGAGTTCAAATATGGTCTCAGGCCCTTGCTTGCTGTGTGACCCTAGGCAAGTTACTTAACCCTGTTTGCCTCAATTTCCTCATCTGTGAAATGAGTTGCAAAAGGAAATGGCAAGCTGCTCTGGTATCTTTGCCAAGAAAACCCCAAATGGGATCATGAAGAGTTGGACACAACTGAAACAATTGAATGACACCAATACAGGATACATCCAAAATAAATGAGTGGTGATTTGGTAGAGGTACTAATCAATGGTGGATTCAGGAAAGACCTCTTTAAGGGGTGGCAAAACAGCTGAACTTTCAAGAGAATTAGGTATTTAAAAAGACAGAGATGAGAAAAAGTATTCTAGGCATTAGGAATAGCTTGTACAAAAGCACAGAGCTGGAAAATGGAATTTTGTGTGTGAGGAACAGAAAGAGAGCTAGTTGGTAGGAGTATAATGTGTGATCAGCCTGGAAAGATAAGGTGTAGCCAGATCATGAAGGTCTTTAAATACGAACAAAGGAGTTTATATTTTATTCCAAAGGCTTTAGGGAACTACTGGACAAAACCTCTTAAGCATAACCTCCCTGGCACATAAAATGAGCACAATTGATAGTATGAAACAAAGTCAGGGTTGGGGTTTAGTAAAAGATGAGCAGTGATAGGACAGTGTGGGAAAGGATTCAGTGGCTTCATCTCTGAAGAGGACTGATCTGAGATTTCTTTCATATTTCCCAAGATTCTAAAAGGATAAACTTCATCCATTACTCACTACCTTGCTATGCATTGTAATGAAATTAATCTTTGGATATGGACAGCATTACTTGTAGATAATTGTTATTCTAGTTTTTAAAGTATTCACAATAGATAATAAGATTGTTGTGTTATAATATGGACTGGATTTCATATCTTTTAAATGCTTTCTCCCACTAGTTCAATAGCTCTTTCCCTCAGCAGCTCCCTGATTCTCCACATTTCCCCAATTGTTGTACCTTTCTTAACAGGATTAAAACATTTTAATTGTTTGGAAAGGCTTTTTAATTAGACTTATGATTAAGTCATCAATTGAAATGGGCCACTTTAAGAATCCTACAAGAGTTTAGTGTAAGCTACATCTAATTTTTTTCACTTTTATTTTGCAGAGCCATCTAGAATTTGAAGCCCAGGTCTTCAAAGACCCCCATGATCTCTAAAATAAGAACACCTAACAGCTGTGTTAGTTTCAAGACAGCAAATTAAAAAGCACATTCCAAATGCTTATTTTCTGTACTTTGTAATTTAAATAAGCATTGATAATGTTTTAAATATTATTTTACTTACATGTAAACTATTATGACAGACTGATGGAAGATCAGAATTCAAGACTAACAGTTCTGCTTGTTGACAAAAATGATTTACATTTATTCTACAATTTACACAGGGCTATAAATTTATATATGGATCTGTAGTAATACTTTTAATCTCATGAACAAAAAAGAGGTAATGCTATTATGAAGCATCAATAGGATAAATATGAATAATGACTCTGAGTACCAGGTTAAAGAAAATAACTAAAATTATTTAATTCCCCTTGTGTGAAAACAAATTAAATTTGTTTTTATGCCAATGGTACACAGTTTTCTTGACTTTAATGAGTAATTCAAATGTACCTCTCCCTGATGAAGGTTATCAGATGACAGTTTTCTTTCAAAACAGAAAAAAACAAAACGAATCAAGAGGATTTTTTTTTGTTTTTACTTTTAAAATATTATTTCCTTTCTTGTCTCTGTTTCTTTAGTGCACATATATAATAAGCAGCAGGAGGAAAGATAATGCAAACAGTTTTGCTCAGATGCAAATACTGTCAAGGTGGATAGAGTGCTGGACTTGGAGTAAGGAAGACCTGTGTTCAAATCCTGACTCTCCTACTTAATAGCTGTGTGACCTTGGGCAAGTCGTTTAACTTCTGATTTAACTCCCTAGGACTTATCTACCAAGTCATAGATAGGTTGCTTCCTAGAGAGAATTCCTATACTGGGAGTTCCCCACCTGATGAAATCACAGATCATTTGCCTACTGGTATATTCTTTGTCACTATGTTGTGCATCATTATCATTATAAACTAATTGTGTGTAAATAATGAAATTATGAAATTAACATTTGTAAAATATCATTGAAAATTAATGAATTAAATAAATCCTTTCCTGAAATAAAAGATTTATTACCTTTTTGCTATTCAAATGTTTTCTTGATTTTTAAAAAATTGTCTTGTATAGACAGATTGATATTTTCTTAATAAATGATTTCTTGACACAATTATATTTTTTCTAGCAGCAATTTAAACCAGAGTCAGTAAATCTTATATTTATTACAATGTAATGTCCTAGTCTTTAGGAGAACCAAAATGATTATATAAAGCAAAATGAGATTTGGAGTCAGGAGACCTATGGTTCTAATCCCAACATTAAGATTTACCTCCTGAAAATCAAGTAGCTCCATTTGAATCCCAATAGACTTTATCAAGCCTGGTTTTCCAAAGCTACATTTCAAGAAGTCATAAATGAAAACTACATGAGACAAAAGAGTTAATTGTCCTGGTTTTTCAGGGGGAAATGACAGAATAAGTAGAGGAAAAAAATCTAGCCCCAAACTCCAAGATGGAGCTACTTGATTATGCCTTTAAACCCAAATCACTCTGGCTCTCATTGATTGGTCCACAGCAGGTCCCAGCCCAAGGCTCACTTGCTCATTGTTTGGGTTTTGATGGCTTAGAGTGAATATTAAAGGCAACTGTTTAGGTTCTAGCCAGAGACCCTGAGGGTCTTCCCCTCCCAGACTGATTCTTCTGAGAAGGCAAACTAGTCTTATCTTTTGCCTCAATTCTTACCTATCTTTTAAACACTGAATGGGGCTTTTCTCAGACAAACTGAGACCTGGGAAAGACCTTAGCTTAAAAAGGCCAAGGTATCTCACTGCATCTGGGACTATCCTAAGTCATCCTGATCTATACCTTGCCACTGGACCCAGATGGCTCCTGAAGAGAGAGTGGGGCTGGTGATTTTGAACAGCCTTGCCTCACTTAAATCCAATTCACTTTCAAGTCCAGATGGCACCCTCCTGATGTCATTGGTCCTCTTCCAGAACAATAGCAACAACAATACCTTGTGATAATGGGTAAGTCCCAAGTTTCAACGTCCTTCTCTGTAAAATATTGGCAGTGATACTTGCCTTACTTTCCAGATGTAGTTGTGATAAAAATTCTCCAAATACTAAGAGTATTTTAATATTTCATCTTATTGATGTGACTACTCTACATGGTGCTGATTGCCTTATCCAGCTACACACACACATGTATAAGTATGAATAACATGTATCTCTCTCTATATATAGAGTATATATACTGTATATATATAGAGTATATATACATGTATGTATACATGTATATGATTTGGAAGGTATCATTGAGCTCTTTGTATAATTTTTCTTTTTTTTTAAATTTTCTTTTGATTTATCAATAATCACTTCCATATGCTTTGAGTTTAAAATTTTTCTCCCCCTTCCGCCCCACCACCCTCCCCAAGACAGCACACAATCTGATATAGGCTATACATTTACATTCATATTAAACATATTTTCACATTAGTGATGTTGTAAGTAGAAATTAAAATCAATAGGAGGAACCATCAGAAAGAGGAAACATACTCAACAGAGGAGAAAAAAAATAATTCGGCTTCCATAGTTCTTTCTTTGGGTGGGGATAGCATTTTCCATCACAAGGCCTCTGGAGATGTCTTAGATACTTGTATTGCCAGGAAGGGTTAAGTTTATCACTATTAGTCATCACACAATGTGGCTTTTATTGTATACAATGTTCTCTTGGTTCTGCTCATTTCACTTAGCATCAGACCATACAAGTCTTTCCAGGTTTTTCTGAAGTCAGCCTGTTCATCATTTCTTATAGCACAATAGTATTCCATCACATTCATATACCACAACTTGCTCAGCCATTCCCCAATGGATGGATATCCTCTCAATTTCCAGTTCTTTGCCACCACAAAAAGAGCTGCTATGAATATTTTTGCACATGTAGGTCCTTTTCCCATTTGTGTGATCTCTTTGGGATATAGCCCTAGAAGTGCTGTTGTTGGGTCAAAGGGTATGCACATTTTTGTAGCCCTTTGGGCATAGTTCCAAATTGCTCTCCAAAATGGTTGGATCATTTCACAACTCTGCCAACAATGCATTAGTGTTCCAATTTTCCCACATCTTCTCCAACATTTATCATTTTCCTGTTTTGTCATGTTGGCCATTCTGATAGGTGTAATGTGGTACCTCAGAGTTGTTTTGATTTGCATTTCTCTAATCAATTGTGTAGAGCATTTTTTCATATGACTATAAATGGCTTTAATTTCTACATCTGAGAACTGGCTGTTCATATCCTTTGACCACTTATCAATTGGGGAATGGTTTATATTCTTATAAATTTGACTTAATTCTCTATATATTTTAGAAATGAGGCCCTTATCAGAGAGACTGGTTTTCTTTCCCAATTTTCTACCTTCCTTCTAATCTTAGTTGCATTGGCTTTGCTTGTGCAAAAACTTTTCAATTTAATGTAATCAAAATGATCTATTTTGCTTTTTGTAATGTTCTCTATCTCTTGTTTGGTCATGAATTCATCTGTTCTCCATAGATCTGACAGGTAAACTATTCCTTGCTCTCTCAGTTTGCTTATAGTATCAGTCTTTATATCTAAATCATGAACCCATTTTGACTTTATTTTGGTATATGGTGTGAGATTTTGGTCTATGCCTAGTTTCTGCCATACTCTTTTCCAGTTTTCCCAGCAGTTTTTTTCAAAGAGTAGGTTCTTATCCCAAAAGCTGGGGTCTTTGGGTTTATCAAATAATAGATTACTATAGTCATTGACTACTGTGTCTTGCATACTTAACCTATTCTACTGATCCACCACTCTGTTTCTTAGCCAGTACCAAGCAGTTTGATGATTGTTGCTTTATAATACAATTAAAGATCTGGAATGGCTAGACCACCTTCCCCTACATTTCTTTTCATTAGTTGTCTTGATATTCTGGACCTTTTGTTCTTCCAAATGAATCTGTTATTATTTTTTCTAACTCTATAAAATAGTTTTTTGGTAGTTTTATTAGTATGGCACTGAATAAGTAAATTAGCTTGGGTAGAGTTGTCATTTTTATTATATTAGCTTGGCCTACCCATGAGCAACTGATGTTTTTCCAATTATTTATATATGATTTTATTTGCATGAAAAGTGTTTTGTAATTGTGTTCATAGAGTTCCTGGGTTTGTTTCAGGAGGTAGACTCCTAAATATTTTATAATGTCTACAGTAAGTTTAAATGAAATTTCTCTTTCTACCTCCTGCTGTTGGGCTTTGATGGCAATATATAGAAATGCCAATGATTTATGTGGGTTTGTTTTATAGCCTGCAACTTTGCTGAAGTTGTTTATTATTTCAAGTCATTTTTACTTGATTCTCTGGGATTCTCTAAGTATAGCATCATGTCATCTGCAAAGAGTGATAGCTTTGTTTCTTCTATGCCTATTCTAATGCCTTCAATGTCTTTTTCTTCTCCTATTGCTAAAACTAACGTTTCCAGTACGATGTTGAATAACAGTGGTGATAATGGACATCCTTGTTTCACCCCCGATCTTATTGGAAATGCTTCTAGCTTTTACCCATTACATATTATGCTTGCTGAAGGTTTTAGATAGATGCTATTTATTATTTTAAGGAAGGCTCCATTTATACCTATGCTCTCTAGTGTTTTTAATAGGAATGGGTGCTGTATTTTGTCAAAAGCTTTTTCTGCATCTATTGAGATGATCATGTGGTTTCTGTTAGTTTTGGTGTTGATATGATGGATTATGCTGATAGTTTTCCTTATATTGAACCAGCCCTGCATTCCTGGTATAAATCCTACCTGGTCATAGTGTATTATTCGTGTGATAAGTTGCTATAATCTATTTGCTAATATTTTGTTTAAAATTTTTGCATCTATTTCATTAGGGAAACTAGTTTATAATTTCCTTTCTCTGTTTTGACTCTTCCTGGTTTAGGCATCAGCACCATATTTGTATCATAAAAAGGATTTGGTAAGATTCCTTCTTTACCTATTTTACCAAATAGTTTATATAGTATTGGAATTAATTGTTCTTTAAATGTTTAATAGAATTCGCATGTAAATCCATCTGGCCCTGGAGATTTTTTCCTAGGGAGTTGTTCATCAATAACTTGTTCAATTTCTTTTTCTGAGATGGGGTTACTTAAGTATTTTACTTCCTCTTCTATTAATCAGGGCAATTTATATTTTTGTAAATATATATCCATTTCACTAAGATTGTCAAATTTGTTGGCATATAGTTGGGCAAATTAATTCCTAATTGTTGTTTTAATTTCCTCTTCCTTGGTGGTAGCTTCATCCTTTTCATTCTTGATACTAGTAATTTGGTTTTCTTCTTTCTTTTTTTTAATTAGATTAACCAAAGTTTTATCTATTTTATTGTTTTTTTCATAAAACCAGCTCTTAGTTTTATTTATTAGTTCAATAGTTTTCTTAATTTCAATTTTATTAATTTTTACTTTAGTTTTCAATATTTTAATTTGTTGTTTAATTGAGGATTTTTGATTTGTTCTTTTTCTAGTTTTTTTAGTTGTATGCCCAATTCATTGATCTCCTCTTTTTCTATTTTATTTTTGTAAGCATTTAGAGATATAAAACTTCCCCTAAGAACTGCTTTTGCTGCATCCCATAAGTTTTGGTATGTTGTCTCATTATTGTCATTCTCTTGAATGAAATTATTGATTGTTTCTATGATTTGTTGTTTGACCCAATCATTTTTTAGGATTAAATTATTTAGTTTCCGATTATTTTTTAGTCTATCTTTCCATGGCCCTTTATTACATATAATTTTTATTGCATCATGATCTGAAAAGGATGCATTTACTATTTCTGCCTTTCTGCCTTGGATTGTGAGGTTTTTATGCCCTAGTACATGGTCAATTTTTGTGTATGTGCCATGTACCACCGAGAAAAAAGGATATTCCTTTCTATCCCCATTCAGTTTTCTCCACAG